CGGATACTCCTTACGGATTCTTTCTTTTGTTCACATGGATTGACATTTCTCAGCACACACAGACCCCACAGCAGTCACCACTAGCTTCAAAGACGCCTACAGGTGTGGCGCGTACAGCCTTTAAGTTCTGTTGACGACCCGACATCATGGAGGGAGAACTTTGTGGTGATGTGGTGAGAGGTATGTATGTATGTCTCTTGGGTCGGATTCGTGGCAAATCAGCGGGGTGGGGGTATGCCCGTCCAAACAGATCCGTCGGGCCAACTTTCGGGGGCCATAAGTCAGCCTAATTATTTGACTGGTATTCAAAGACCGAAACGAAAACGGGAGACAACGTGATACAATGCACCTGTACCCAGATGCAAGCTACATCATATACCGTTTGTTGTCCTTGTCACGCCATAGCCAAACTCGCATTCAAACCCATGACCACAGCAGTCGCTGCATGGAAAGCTGCTACGTGCCAGCCTACACTAACCACTCTGCGGTACACCGCACATCATCCCCTTGTGGATACCTGTGTACATGTAGACACTCCGAAGAGGGGAGATAGCACCGTGGCAATACTGCGAGGAGGAGAGATAGCACCATGGTCACGACACTGTTGTTGTTGTGGTCTTCACATTAAAAACCGTTCCGTTCTCTGCCCAGCACCGTCTTCTGTGCACTCTGCAAATAGACTAGATAGTCTTAAGGTAAAGAAAAATGTACACTGAATCCAGTACAGTCTGTTCAGGCAAGAAACACCGAGCAATCACTAAATAAATAAGTTCTAAATTCGTTCCTCGATCTCCGCAGACCGTACGCCTGCACTGTACTTCCCCGTGTACCCACATCATCAGCACCGCCGATCTCTCGAGCCACAACTACAGTCCGCCCATCTCGCGCCACGGGCCAGGACGTATCGAGCCAAAGCAGCAGCACGTGTTTCATACAGGAAGCAGTCCTGCTTGAGCGAGAGCTGCCATGGAAACGGCTACGTCATGGATCGCCTACCCCGCTAACGCCGTGACGGAAGCTCTCTCATCATGGAGCACCGCCACACTATCCACCTTCTTCGAGGACAACGAGTGTCTCTCACCGCCACCGCCAACCTGGCTCCTCGCTCTATGGGAGAACGCGTGGGCCCTAGCGCTGCTAGCGCTCTGGGTGTCGGGCTGCTACGCCCTTGATTCTGACTCGGGACCCTTCCCCTGGCTGTTCGTAAAGCGCCGGGTTCTTCGTGCGAATCTCAAGGACGCGGGGCTGAAGAAGGGTCTGCACGCGATCGGAAGTGGGTGACCGATCACCACACGCTTTCGAAGGAAGCGATCTTTCACTGGTGGGTCCGCGATCTTCCTGACGGGAAGGATGGGCAGGCGGCCGCGTGTTCCCGGGTGTCAGGATCTCAGGAGGTGCGTGATGGGTGTACTGGTATGACGTATGAAACGAGAGAGACGGATGCGGAGAGAATGTGCAGTCAACCGTGCCGCACGGTCGAACCCCTCACAGTTTCATGCACCATTTCCAAGTCCATCGCGAGATTACACGGGATCAATCCTTGGAGATTCACCTGTTGATCTACAGTACTTGTTCTTATGTCTTTGAGCTGCATTGCTGTCTTGTTGTTCCCCTTTCTTTGGTTAGACTGAGCATAGATTTGTAATTTTTCTATTTGGTCGGTCGAAGTTCGCCGGGCTGGTCGAGGCAAAAAAAGACACGTCCAGTGATCCGTGTGAGCTTGGGAAACGTCACTACTCAGCTGGCAGCCAGCTGTAGGTTGGTCCTGCTACCTGCATATTTTCATCTTGCATCCCCCCTCGGTGACACTGTGCTCTCATAACCCCTCCGTAGGGACCACTCGTATAAAAAGGGGGGGGGCGCGGTGCCTCAAGAAGGGATGTGACGTGTGCTGGACGAAAAAACAAATGAAAAGGAGGGGAGCAGGTCCGCTGCTCCTAGCCTCGAGGTGGTCTCACTTCTTATCTATCTCTTGTTTTGCCTCTTTGCCCTGGTCCGCTCAGTGCTTACTTCAAGTGCACCACGGCGGTGCTTCGACCTGATCTTCAACAGTGATATGCTGACGACGTCATCAAATATTCATCTCCAACAAAAGATTCAAAGTATCCTTGTAGCGCTCATACACCGCTCATTGCGTAACAATCATGGTCATTCACTAGTTACTACAATACAGACGCCCCCATCTCGACGCACCCATCATATACAAAAACGAATGTTTTATGTTTGCAAGCGTTGTCATCCACGCTAGATTTACGCCGGAGGAGTATGGGGAGGACGTAGGAAGAATAATCAAAGAGTTGGCGGTGGAGCAGATGAAAGTAGCGAAGAATATTCCGGGATACTCCAAGCGTGCAAATTTCGCAGCAATACGAGCAAATGTTAGGGCTCCATTTTCAAACGAACGGGAGAGAGAAGAAATCTGAAACGAACGGCAATACCGTATGAAAAATATGGGAGAGAGGAGAGTTTGCCGAAAATAGCGAAGGAGGCGAAGTGGGAAAACGAGTAGGCAAATGTACAGGAAGTTTGGAGGGGGTCGCCTTCGAGGAGATATATCATTTTTTTCAGGAGAGGACCCTTACAGAACGAAAGCAAACTGCGGAAAAGGAGGGTTCATAAGAAACGGGATGTTGATGAGTGACGGAGAAGGGTTCAAGGAGTATTTCCTTCGACCAACGGATGCCGAGACAACTTGAAGGCCGACTTTTGGTCTGGGGACACGCGTTGACCTTCGAAAACTTAGACGGACTCTTTGTTTGGAAGGTAGACGAAGACGACGACAAGAAGATTCATGTGTACATCGGCTCCATGCCAAGAGTTGCTTTTTAATGAAGTTGCGAAATGCTCGTTGTGCGAAAAGGAGAGAGAAAATTACGTGACGGACCTGATGGAAATAGAAGTACGCTACAGGAAGAACTCTCGAGGCATGGGAAAGCCAGGGGAAGACGGAAATTTTTCTACACTGGGGTAAAATAGCGTTCTAAGCAGGATGTAAACAGAACAGGGATCAGATGCTTGAGCCACAGTTGGCAAAGTAGGAAGGAACGATTGGCCATCGGTGGTCAATCATGTCGGAACAGCGCTCTGTCCTCGCAAGCACGCGCGGCCAATGGTCAATCAGCCAAGTCCATAACCTGAGTACGCCGCCCCCCCCCTGGTCCCCCCCCTCGGTGTTTGCCATCGGGGTTGGGTTTTCGTCGCTTGGCAACGACGTTGTAAAACAAGCCGCCCCCCCCGGTGTTTGCCATCGGGGTTTGGGTTTTCGTCGCTTGGCAACGACGTTGTAAAACAAGCCCCCCACTCGGTGTTTGCCATCGGGATTGGGTTTTCGTCGCTTGGCAACGACGTCGTAAAACAAGCCAATTCACTTCGTGAACTCGGCAACCAGGTTACCGTTTTTTTTTTTTTTTTACCTCGTTTTTTTTTTTTTTTTGGCGGTAACCATAATGGTGGTCGAGTAGATCATGTTGTGCGGGGTCGAGAAACCTCACTCCGCGCAACGGGGGATGATCGCACCACGTTGTGTTAAAATGGTCAAGCACCCTCGAGGCAGTTACACAGTGCTTACAACTGTCTCTGGAAGTGAAAGCACCAGAAAATAAATTAAGTCATACGTAGCTGTCATCCGTACGCAAGGAAGTAAGCACAAGATGCCGAACACCCTTAGCAGGATGCAGCTCACCCTTCATGCGACTCGCCAAATACCTCACGGCGCTTCGCGCTTGGTGATGTGAGAGCCTGGTCCGGTGAAAACCCGGCGTGCTCCGTCCCGGCTTTGTAGGGATGCGAGGTCAATGGTCAAACGACTACGGCATGCACGACTATGAGTACACCCCCCCC